AGTAGCTACACTAAGCTCATAATTGTCTTCTACACAGCCAAGGCATTATTATCATTATGTAACTAGGTCCTTAAAAAAAATGGCACTTAACTTGCACAAACTGTAGCCACCGTAGTTTTCTTCACAGTGCATTGACTTAAAACTGAATGCCTTGAATCCTACACACTGGTTCTATAATGCAACTACATTAATGATTATAATTCCTTAGCTGTCCTTATATGCTTACAGAAAATCTTTTTCTGTGCTCATTATGTCCCACAGCGTACTCAGGAATGAGGCACAAATGTTACACCAACATAGGATTATTTCTTTGAATATCTGAGATACATTATGCTAAAATATGTTCTAAATGTGCTCTTTCTACCAGATTCGGCTTTGTGCACGACAAGTTTTCTGCTTCTGCTTTTAATTTCCCGTCTGAGAACAAGCCGCAGTACATCCATGTAACAGGTTTGTCTCATCACGCCATCAAAACACACAGACTGCCTTTCTGTTTCCTGCAAGCTGACAAGCTTCAGTCTGCTCTTCTCCCATCAGGCACCGTGTTCCTGCAGCTGCCGTACTCCAAGAGGAAGTACTCGAGCGGGCAGCAGCGCCGGCGCCGAAACTCCACCACCTCCAACAGCCAGGGGCCGTTTGGCGGCGAGGAGCGGGTCGGATACTACTGGGCCTACAACACCATGCTGACCAAGGCCTGGAGAACGGGCGTGCTGGGCGACGAGAGGCTCGCCGATCGCCTGCTCAGAGACTTCACCGACTTCTGCACCAACAAGGACAATAGACTACTCAACTTCTGGGATAGCTGCCAGGAGAAAATGAACGCCAGCGCTCCCTGACAGGAGAGCATGAAAACGGAATGTAGGAGAGGATAAACAAGGAATGTAAAGAAGATGAAATGTATTTTTAATTTTTATTTATCCAAAAAGTGAGTTGCACTCAAAGAATGATGTTTACGACTTTAAACGCTCGATTCTCCGGTTTGGATGACGGAACAAATTTAAAATATCAAATGAATGCCTTAAGAGCAGAGGTTCTGCTCCAGTGTTGTGTTCTGTTAATTCTGTTTATTTACATAATATAAATAATACAACACCTATTCATGTGTCACACTGTTGTGTTTACACTGGCAGAGTGTGTCTGTACATCTGTGTCATTCTCTGACCCTGAACGCTACAGTCAGTTCAGCCCATAAAAATCTAAATGAAAACACTAACAGTAGTAAATGTGCTATAAAATTTCCAAGATTGTATCCAAATGAAAGAATGACAGCAAGAAAAAGCAACACTTAACTTTCACCCTTCATAGTCAAATGTTTCAGATGCTGATCCGGATCCTGTTTTTGAACCGAACCACCGACCTGACTGTGTGTGTCTCAGTTTTGTCTAAATGAATACACCGTAGGTGATCATAAAAGAGCCAGCCAAGAAACAACAGCGTGCGACTTCTGCAATAAATCTTTAAATTCCCCCTCCAGTCAGAAATTAGTGTTTCTTCAATTTTCCTACAGTGTGAAAATCTGATTTTAAATCACAAATAGTTAGGAAGTCAGTCCTGGTCCAGTATCAACTTGCACAATGGGATGTAGGAACCTGAAGCCACCAGTCACACTAAGTTATTCATAAATGAACAAAGAGACTTTCCAGAAGTTGAAAATCAGAACATTGCATACTCTGATAAACTGACAAGTGAAACATGTTTAGCTCGTCTGGTAGCGTGATGGGGGCTCTCCTCCTCTTGTAGCCTGTGATGTTCTGCTTCGCCTGTCACACGTCTTTGGTGTTGTTGGTCTTCCTCCAGCCTCTGCTGCTGTCTCCACTTTACCTCCTTGATGCCAGTCTTGCTCTGGTGGTGCTCTATGCTTTTCGGCTGTGGACAAAGCCCTCACCTCTCTGTTCATCCAGGATTTTTAGTTGGGGAATGATTTTATTGTCTTTGGCTATTTCTATATAGTTATTCTTAGTGCCTGCCAACAGGTCAGAGTCAGTCGGAGTCCTCTTGAAATCAATGAAACGAAACGGTAGAAACACGGCTTTTGTCCACAGGGGTCGCCAGAATCAACACAAAATGAAAGTTCCTTTTGGGGGCTTTAACATGATTTTAACAACTTCTTAATTTGAGTTTCTTCTCCTTATGTGATCATACGATTATGTGCTTCACTTTTCCATAAGGCTGAGTAAATGAAGTCAAACACAGACGCATTTTTAGTTGCACCTCATGAAACTTGTTTAATGAGTGTCTCTTTATAAAACACCAACACACAATCATAGAAGTCACTGGAGCAACAAACATAAAAATGGAGTAAAAAGATCAAGTTAGTTAGGATGAGGGATTATCAGAGCCCTACTACTGAACTGAACACACAAGATTCCCAGTCAGTACCACTACCTGCTCTGATCATTTACCACTATGATTCCCTTATATTAGTATTCAAACATCATATGTATACATATAGCATTGATCCCTTTAAAGTCATTTTATATCAAATACAGTTCTGCTGTTCAAGTTTCTTTTGATTATAAAAATAGAGGTCAAATTATGTACAATGGAAAATGAGTCAAATAGAAATCTCACAATAATTAGTTGTTCCATAAAATAGTGCTTTATCTAAATGATCCACAACAATGAGGCACGAACACAAGGTATTCCAGTACCCTTATACCCACTGGACAACAGCCACTGCAGTGAACGCCTCAATCGGCAGACCAAGGAAGCTTCCAATACCTTCTTGTTGAAGTGCCATCTGTGCGTTGCAGCAAGGCCTTGATTCTCCTTTACTTCCTGTGCAGCCTGGATTTCAGAGTCAGTTTCTAGTCTGCTAATGTGTAAATGTAGTAGTTTGTCAATGTGTCATTCTGTGGAGGGTTATGTATAAGAATGACCCTTTAATGAAGCATTCCACTTTGAAAAAATGAATTTAGTTTAGTTAAGTTTAGTTAGCTGTTGTAGTATGTGGTCCAGCACTGACAGGACATCAGCTGTTAGTTTTAAAATGGTTCTTTGGCGTTTTGTGATCCCTTAAACACACCACATACTCTATCTGCTTCCCTTCATCATCCTTTGTTGGCTCTTACGTCCGTTAGTGAAGCAGCAGGACAACACCTCCCTTCTGAGGTGATCCACTCCAGGTGAGCCGTATCTGCCGTGAACTCTACATGTCAGTCTTTCCTCTGTATTGTTTAGCACAGCAGACATGCAGTCACATAAAGTTTGACTAAAGACTACTGGGTCCTGGACCTTGTTTTCTCACCATTTTCCAAAGTTCTGTATAATTGCCATTTCCATTTCTTTAACTGCTTCTTTAACTGCCACTTTAAAGCTCCTTATTTGTCTTATTTGTTTGCTAGGCTATAGCTAACTAATACCATAACCACTGAAAATCAATCAAACATAAACAAACTTAAAAGATTCTTCATTGTCCTTCACTTTGACGCTGGTTAATGTTAAATAGTTAAATGTTAGAAAAGCGTAAAATACTAAAGATATATTGAATGTATGGTAATGCATGGAACATCATGATGCGTCCTCCATGGTGCCACAGTGAAACAGGCTGTACTGAGGTCAGAGCACTGAGGTTGCACTTACTGCTGGCATTAGCTGGTCATTATTATTAGACTAGATTGTTATAGAGTTATGTTCATGTATGTTTATTACTGTGAGCTCAGACAGACTGCAAAATTAACTTAGGCATACGAAAAGGGGGGCGAAGTCATGAGCCGCCCTACTCTGCTTTTGATTGGCTAGTATTTGTTGCCTTCATTGGTTTGGTTGGTGAGGTTTAAGCATTAGAAGTGAGATTGGTTATGGTTAGGCTTAGAATGTCAGGGTAAGCCCATCAGAAGCAGAGGACATTAGTTAGCTAGCATTTTGCTAAAAGCTTTTCCATTGACAGGCAAACAGAAAAATACGACCTCTTTGGCGGAAAATTAGCCTGATGCGACACGGATTGACACCGGGATGCATCCACACGACTTGTAAATGTTTCAACTTAAGGAAAACATTTGTACATAAAATCCCTGCAGATCAAAGAATCTGCTTCAGAAACATACAGATATGAGAGAACTGGAGTTGGTACACTGGCCGTTAAAACACAAATGATCCAGCAATCAAATGTGTGCAAACCAAGCAAGGCGAAAATCCACTCCACTTTCTGTCCAAACATTTTCATTTGTTCTCCAGCAGAATTTTAGCACGGAAAAATGGTTAAATTCTAAATAGTTTTGGATTGTCAACAAATTGATTCACTAAGATTCACTTCACATGGATTGAGATTGCCTCTGGTTTTCCTTTATTAATGTGTAATTAATGTTACGTGGTGAACTGGTCTACTTAGCAATAAGTAGACGTCCTAACCTTTTTATTATTTTGAGTGGTAATTAGTTCATTTAATTTTGCTCCTATATACTGTTTTAGTTGTGTTTATTTTGCCTTGATCCTGGAATCTCTGCTGTACACTCCTCAGGTAATATTTATGACATAAAGATGTCATCTAGGTGTCACGCTTGTTGATTAAACCATATGATGGTTTCTCCCAACATGGGGAGGTTGCTATTGTCTAACTGTATTATATATGTCTTTTCCTTTTCATTGCTGTTGTTCGTACTCTGAATAATGTTTAGTCAAATTAGTGAAAATGAATAAATAAAATGTTCAAAAAGAAAAAGTAGTCACCTTTTTGTCAATTATTGTTTTGGCTCCAGTTTAAACCCATAGTAAGAGAAACAGCCAGAGGTAGGAGACCGTATGCTCTCTACTTGCATTGTACTGCCTGGAAATCATTAATAAAGTGCTGGAGACAGGACAACTACTGCCTGTTGAAAAACTCACTAATTCACTACAATCAAATGAACCTATATTAACCAGTTTCTATATTGATTATGATTGAACAGAACTACTTTTTTGGAAAATGGGAGGAAAACAAGATGTAGGTTGAAAATGCCACAACTGTCAGTTAAAATAATCCCTTCTCAGTTCCTCTGGTCTCCCTGCTGAGTCAGAAGTGCTCAATGTGCCGCAGGAAATCCCCGCTCTTTCCCTGGAAAACGAAAGATGAATCATAACAAGAAACAAAAGTGAAAGCCACTGTCCAGTTTCCTGTTCGTACTGCTAGGGTGTCAGCTGTAAGGAGGGCGGGTGGGGGCCGGGCGTTAGTTGATTCTGGCCTTCAATCTCAAGATGCCCTCGGCAGACCGACCGAATAGTACACACACATAGCACACACGCACACCACACACACCACACACACACACACAGGACAGCAGTAGTTGAGCTGTGAACAGTGTGAACAGCAGGAAGGAGTGAGGCAGTAAGCTCTGCAGATATACAAACAACACAAACACACATGTATCAGTATAGCTGTCTGACTCACGTGGTCTGATCCTGATTGGCCAGATGAGGATGGAGCAGAGCGCCAAAGCTGCAACAACTGCCACGCCTCCCGTCACTATGACCATGACGTAATGGTAGAACCACACGCAGGCGGGACAGCACAGCACAGTACTGAGAGGGAGAAGCAGCAGTTCACATATTGTTCAGTATTATTAAACTCCCATTGTAGACCTCGTTCAACATGTGTTGGCAATATTGTGCTGAAAGCTGGGGGGTTTGCTGCGTCCTGCATTTCCCATGATGCAACTCAATAGCATCTTTTGTTTGACCCTGTCTGCCCATCTTTCAAATTCTACCCTCCCAATTTTTAATGCAAACTTTCTGTTCAAAATCTGTAGACTCCAAACCCAATCCGAGATTACCCTGATGACATCACCGTGACGTCATCAGAGTGCAAGAGGCGTGGCTTCACACGGAAATATCACAACAACTACTGGATGGATTGCCATTCCTCCATGAGCTTTTGAGTGAAATGTCTCCACAACTATCGACTTCCATCAAATCTGCTTCAGACAGTCAGCAAAAAAAATTACTTTGGTGGCCTTAGCTGTACGTCGTGGTTAGTGCTAATGAACAATTGTTAGCATGCTAACATGCTAAACTAACATAGTGGTGAACATAATAAACACTACACCTGCTTAACACCAGCATTGTCATTGTTAGCATGATGACGTTAGCATTTCGCTCAAAGCATCGCTCTGACTAAGCACATCATCACACAGAGCCTAGCATGGCTGGAGACTCCTAGGGATGATTCAGCACCTAATTTGGTCTGAATCAGCCAACCAGGCACCAGTCCTCCCTTTCATTGGAGTGGGGGTAGTTGGTTATGGGTGCTGTAGTCGGGGTCAGTTTTTAAAGAAACACGACCCGTCTCTCTCAAGCCAGGCGGAGTTTATGGACCAAATGATGATACTCTACCCAGTTGTGTCCTCGCTTGGTTTATTTTGTGTACCCAACTCCAATGACTGTCTGAAACAGCGATATCAAGAAGCTTTGTTTGGTTTGTGAGAGAGACAGCGGAGGTTGAGTGACCTGAAGAATGAATGAGGAGAGGGAG